CATAAATATACACATTAACTAAAATGGAGTCGGGAAAAACGTAATGGATTTGAAATGGCCCTAACTAGTAACAAGCACCGTCAACTCCACAATGACATCCGTCACTACAACTGTGATAACTTCCCTCACGATATACACTGCAGGTATACACAAGGCTACTTTCATGATCATCATCAACATTGCTCACTACTATTGCTATTATCATCATGATAGGCTTGACTATAATATTAAATACAGCCATTGCTATACAAATAATTGGACAGAGTGGCATTTGCATTGTCCTTCACATCGCAACCATTATAAACGTGTCTCAGCTTCCCGACTGTCGCTAAGAATATTCAGTAACACCTTACGATGGTCCGCGTAATGGTTCAGACTTATGGCCGCATCAAGATGAAATGCCGGTTCCGGTACGATCACCGAAGTTAAGCAACGTCGAACCTGGTCATTATCTAGATGGGTGAACGCTTAGGAATACCAAGTACTATAATCATGGTTGTGCGTGTGGTTTAATGGATAATGGCTCTGAATTGTTAATCGAAGAACTGAATTTCAATACCTGTTAGGTTTGTTATATTCCCTTACATGCAAATACCATTGGGAAAGGTGTGATCCACATCTTCTCCCCCAACTATGTGTTAATTAGTAAGGCCAATATTACTAAACCATGATTATCTAAAAAAAAACATTCTTACAATCTATAAATATTTGTTGGCGTTAAATATTCTGCAAAGGATTAATAACCCTTAGAAAATGATTCAATCAATGAAGCGTAATATTTGTTACTGTCGTTGTTATGCTTGACGTCATCATAGCCATTGTATCTATTTTTTATTTTATGTGCATCGTCCCTTTAAGGAAACAGCCGGTCATGGTTCTCCGAAATTTCTTATTCTTTATGGCATTTAGCAGTTTTTTTTTCTACTTTTGCTAACGTTCCTGCGGGTTAAGTTTTCAAAGCCCTCCTGATTCCTTGTGTCCAAGGTATTTCAACTGCCTCCACCTGATTCTGAGTATCTCTCCTTCTTCTTTGTCTCCAAGGAATTTCAACTGTCTCCTACTGATTCTCAGTATCCCTCCTTCTTCATTATGCCCAAGGAATTTCAACTGTCCCCTCCTAATTCTGATTCTGAATATCTCTTCTTCTTTGTGTCCAAGGAATTTCAACTGTCTCCTAATGATTCTCAGCATCCCCCTTCTTCTTTGTGTCCAAGGAATTTCAACTGTCCCCCACTCTGATTCTTAAGCTCCCTCCGTCTTCATAGTGTCTAAGGAATTTCAAATGTCTCTTCCTTATTCTGGGCATAAGCGTTTTCTTTTTGTATACTCTTTAAAACCTCTTCATTGCTTACACGCTCCGTCCATAGTAGAATCTCTGTAGAATCACATTTCTCCATTGGGTAATTGTCCAGCCTTTACTGCCATGTAATCAATCCATCACTCTTACGTAATCTTAATATCTGTTTCTCATTCGCTCCAAGATTTCAGGTTTCCTATTGTCTTGGATTCATGCGGAAATTCTATAATGCAGAGACGTTCATATTAATTTATTTTTCCCACATTAACCATTTTCCATCAAGCATCATTAGCGAGATTAGTAGAGAGCTTATGAATCTAATCCAACTTCTCGTTTCTGAACAGTAATAATCCGTAAATAAAAAAATCAATCTAAAGTCCGCTAATCTGGGATCCGTCTACTCTCTAGAGCACTGGTCATTGCGCCAAAAACGGTAGGCCAAAGAATGAGCCTTATTGCCTACAGCTGTAATTGAGATTTGAATACTTCAGTGTGGTTTCCGCGCAGAGGAACCTCTCAATCTACATCTACACCGGACGGTTTTCAGGAAACTACCTTCCGGGGACGTTAGGGTTGGGGACTAGTTCCATAAACACACTGCTCTTTTTCATTTCCTGTGTTAGATTATCATCACGATACGTTTGATATACAATATGCTAAAACTGGATGCATGGCGCATAATATTGCATCAGGTTGTCATCCATATATAGCCTTTAAACAGGTATTTTCAAATACCTATAGCACCACACATACACACACACACACACACACACACACACACACACACACATATATATATATATATATATATATATATATATATATATATATAATTGTGTATTTTGGCAGCAATCTCTCTTTTATACAAGTCTCATTAAAGACGACTGGTAAGTTACTGCGATTAGTCTTTTATTTAATTTTTCTTGTGTTCGTACAAGTGTTTACTTTTCTGGACATAAAGTGTGGAAAAATTATCCAAATGTTTTTTTGTTTTTGTTTTTTTGGCTTTTTGGCTGGGTCACCTTCTGTTTACCTCGGAGTTCTTGACAAGATCCAGAGACGGATATGTAATATAATTGGCCCTGATCTGGCGTCTCGTCTACAGTCACTCTCTCACAGACGCGCCGTCGCCTCTCTCTGTCTTTTCTATAAATACTTCCATGGTAATTGCTCTGATGAGCTGCTTTCACTGGTCCCCAGACTCCATGAATTCAAGCGCCTTACGAGGCTGGCATCCCGCTCCCACCCTTACACTGTGGAAACTTTTAAATGTAGCCGTCTCTTCTACTCCAATAGCTTCATACCTCGCACCTTTCGCCTGTGGAACACCCTTCTCAATTATTGTTTCCCTGAAAGCTATAATCTCCAACTATTCAAATGTAATGTCAATCGACACCTCCAGTTACCTTGATCTACCCACTAACCCTCTCCTCATCCTTTCTTCTATCACTCCTATCTGCTCTCGCTCCAAATCTTCTGCAACCCCCTGCATCCTAGTGGCTTCACGCCTTGCTCTGGGCATAATGTTATATATATTATATATATATATATATATATATATATATATATATATATGAGCGCTTTCGGCTATTCTATTAAGGATTTTTCTTGTTTATTTGTAACTGAATTTATATATTATTACATGTGATGTATATGTTTTATTATTTTCCAAACATAGTCAGTACACTGTGGCCGTGTTCATAGTTGATGCTATTGAATTTTGGCGTTTTCTTTTTTATAATTAGTGTTTCCATTATACTTAGTGTTTTTTGGGATGTGAATAAGGCTATTATACTTGTAATTTCTACAAGTATGAGGGAATATATTTTAGTAGGTTTCCGCATGTGTTGAGTCTAAATGAGCCCTAACTGGTCTATTTGTCAGAGAGGTGTAACCTGAAATCATTCTCATCAGTCTAAAAACATATAAAAAATCTAGCCATTCAGTTAAAAAAAAAACAACCTTGATAATGGCTAAAGCGCTCAGATATACAGAACACACTTTATGTCCAGAAAAGTAAACACTTATACGAACACAAAAAAATTAAATAAAAAGGTTAATCGCACTCCCATGTCAGTCGTCTTTAATGACACGGTATGTCCTTCGCAAGTGTTTGATTGTTCTTAATAAAGGAATTCCATGGACAATCCCTTCTTGTGTGGTCGTTCCTCAATGTTAAATTGTTTCAATGTTTTAGATATTCAGTAAATTTCCTATGGCTGTAATAACTTTCAAATAGTATGGCGTTGTTCACAAATCTAACGCCCCCTCCTTCTACGCCCGTTTACTGTAAAGCTGGTGTTAAAAGAAGCTTTTTAGGGACTTTTTCTTATTTAAAGCTTCAATAATTCTTTTCAAGCAACCTTTGCATCAAAGGTTGTTCGAATGTCAATTTGGGATGAAATCATACGAAGAAACTATTGGCAAAGGACAATTTTGGACCTAGTTTGTCGCATATTAAATCTACTTAACTGAAATAATCTAAAGTAAACATTCATGCAAGACAATTTGTGTGTCATATGTAATTTGCATGACAAATTTGGAAAGCATCGGATGAAAAACCAGAGTGTTATGGCCGAAAAACATTTTAAAAGTTTTCGTGTTTTTTCGTTATACGCGAGAAAGTGAGCAGAACTAAAACTACACTATCTTATTTCTTGCATGATGGCAAATTTTTACGACATTTTTAAGAAAATCAGATAAAAAATGAGGAAGTTATTCAAGATTTATTTTAATTTTTTGTGTGAAGCCAGCGTCGCAGGAAAACTATCAAGCACTCTACGTAAACCTTGTAACATGAGCTATGTTTTGCATTAAGTGCAAAGAACATCAGCTCATCAAGTAAAAATTTTGTTCCCGTGAAACTTTGCATTGGTTTTTACAAAAGGTTTTACCTACCTTCAGTTTTATCGATTTTTCTGCCAAACCTGGGGGTGCCTGGAAATTGAAAAGTTGGTTTTGAGCTAGATTGCTAAATTTGCAATATGAGTGTACAAATCGATCGAGAAATGTGGACGTGCATAAATAGCATACATAAACACACGCATAAACACACACAGAGACACACAGACAGATACACACACACACAAACAGACATCTGTTTTATAGATTTAGATATGGAGGATAATTATATGTATATATATATATATTTGCTCTTTTTTTAGATGTTTGTTTTAATTGTATAATGATATTGCAAAATATTATAAAAAATGAAAACATATTTTTAAAAAACATATATTTAATGAAAAATATAAAAGAAAATTGGTATATAAGATGAGCAATCTTCCAGTATAAATCCTCGAAATGGCAGTGTTATTTCCAACTTTGCGTAATTTAGACCTATGTATATACATACATACACACACATACATACACGTATATACATACACAAACACACACACACACACACACATATATATATATATATATATATATATATATATATATATATATATATATATATATTTTGAAAATCAGTGGATACCACGTCTAAAAACACACTATCCAGCCAGGCTAAACTATAAATTTAACAATATAGATAGTACTAATATATAACACTACAAATCAAAACCTACCCACATTTCTCACCCACACAAGACAGACATGCTTACGGAGGTGTTGAGGCCGCACACTTAGACGCACACCCACACGAACATACACACTTACACACATCATACTCATTCACTCCCTAATGAGCGAAATG